CCGGGGACGAGTCGGTCAGTGTGAACGGCGAGGCGTATCCCATCCTCACACCCGCTAAGAATCGATATTAGATATAATTAGATATTATAATCAAATAAATGAATAATTAAGTTAAAAATGAGATAACGATACCGTAGAAGAGGGCGAATTCAACCGTTAACTCAAAGACATGAGCCAATGGCAGGAATGCGATATAAGTATGGCTCCGACTTTCGGAGATAACATCTTTAAGGGCTAGGAGTGCGGTATTGGCCGAGCCGTCCACCATTTGCCGATGTGTGGCGATCGCCGCCTTCGGTGGACCCGTTGTGCCCGACGTATACATTATAACGAACACGTCTTCCGGTTTGGGTGTCTGAAACTCAATGTCCGACATCTGAGTGCCGGTGCGCTCCACCTCTTGCAGGGACTGGAGTCTGATATTGTCGGGAAAGCCATTCACTTGAGAGGTAGTGATGTCTTTATGAAGATTCTTGTGCTCAATGTAAACGATTGTCTCAACGGTCGGTATTTGAGTGATTAGTGAACGTATTTTTGGCATCAAATCACACGAGACTATCATTAATTTGATTTCTGTTTGATTTATGCCGTAAACGATTCCTTCGTCACCTGATTTTCATTTCCAGACATGAAAAATAAAATTAAAATATATCTCTTGATTAAAATAAAAATAAATCAACAAATTGATAAGTTTGTATCTATAATAAAATTTAACATTCAATTTTAAATAAATTTCCATTAATTCATAAAAAAATTTGCAAATAAAAAACTAAAAGGCCTAAGTTGTGGAAAATATAAATACCGGTAAAGTAAATAAATAATTAAATAAAGTATAGTTGTGTGAAATGTAATTATAGTAAACCTGTTTTTATCAAAACTAAATCTAAACAAATTTATATATATTTGAAAATTTTAGTAAAATAAATGAAAATATTTTAAAGAAATTCCTAGAGCTTCGAATTTTCGAGAATAAATATAAAAATAACTTTCACCTAAAGTATTGTGTTTTGAGTACAAATAAGTTTGTTATACATGTACCGTATTCTCCCGCTTTTAGCCCCATGGGGTTATATGTGAGGGGTCTCTGACTTGGGTAGGCTTCAAAATAGCATGGGGCTATACCCGGGTATAACCCCACCCCCTCTAACAAACTCACATATTACCCCATGACAGGATCTCTCTCATTAATAGCAATAAATACATTTATTTATCAAATTTAATGCTTGATTACACATTTCGATTAAAATAATTTCTATTTAAAACATATTTAGTCATCTGTATTAAAGGATTCTGTATTAAAAACTTTTTACATTTGACTTGTTTTTTGAGTCAAAATAGCATGGGGCTATACCCGGGTATAACCCCACCCTCTCTAACAAACTCACATATAACCCCATGGGGCTAAAAGCGGGAGAATACGGTAATCGGAATAATAGCAAACATAAAGTTTACTGTATTTATTACAAGATTGTAATTACAATATAAATACAAACACATACCAAGATTAGAGAAGAGAGTGACAACACTAGCGCCGAGTTTGGCGACCGCCTGAGCGCACAGAAACCATTCAACCCGTGTCTCCGATAGAATCAATATCTTGTCCCCAAAGGCCGCCCCATTGGCCGCCAATCCTTTGGCTATAGCTGTGGTGATTGTGTCGATCTCTCCATAAGTCAACCACTTATAATCGCTGAGTCGATACTTTCTTAGAGACCGGCCATCGATTCGTCGCGCTTTACCGTCGGCTCCGACCGACTCCTCGGCCGACAGCACTTCGCGATAGGCTTAGGATTGAGAGAACATAGTGTTTGCTTTAATTGTGTTCATAACATGTTTTGTAACTTCAATTCAGTTTCATATAAATGTTGACAAAAAACAATGGCAACAAAACATACCTAAAATAGGTGTTTGCTGTCCGTGATAATCAGCAAGGTTGTTTAATGTCTCGGTCACTGTCGGCTTTATAACTGGATAAGTAATCTCTGGCTCATCACAAATCCAGGCGCTGTCGCTGTCGTTGGGATCCTCTAGTTTGGATCGGCATCTGTTGGCTCTCTTGAGTCGATTCCACGGCTTTTGTTTGAAGTAATAGTAGGGAAGTGTGACATATGTGTACACATTGACAAACACTCGCACTAATAGTATGATTACAGACACCAAAATCTTCCTCTGGTGTGACATTATTGTGGTCGGCGGCGATCGTCACAAACAATTTGATTAGTTTGTCGTGTGATATATGTTACCAATGATTGTCACAAAATACAATTCAATTGACAAATAAAATCTCAACAATTAATACTTGATTTAACACAACTCTGTTTGCGATCCGTATTGTTGTATAACCCTATATAATAAAAAATATATAATAAGGTTAATTAATTAATGTTATGTATTTAGTTCTTACGTTAGATTAATGGCATAAACAATATGAACACAATATTATATTATAAATTATAATGTATAACTGCAACACAATGTGTTAATTGTTTGAAATGCAATACAACATGATTTTCAAAATCTTCTCATGTATTATGAAACATTTATTTATTTGGCGTCTGATATGATAGTGGTGTGAATGGTATGAATGGTGCGATCATTTCACATTTCACCGGCATCAATGCATGTACATGTACACCATGGTCATAATCAATTCATAGAGTTTATATAAAGATAAAGTTGAAATGATGAGTAATAAAATATTGCCGGTTAATGGATATGATTGTAAAGACGATAACAATTTGAGTGTAAGTGTAATAATTGTGTAAAACAAGTATTAATACTCAAAAAGGTATACCTTTTCGCAAACAAGTCTATGAAATATCAGACAAAACCTCTATTAATAGAATTTCAAATTTGAAACCCTAATGGAAAAGCAAATATCAATTGCCCTTGCTAAATTACCATATATTAAATTATATCTTATTAAATTAAAGTATCTAGTTTAAAAAAGTATGCCTTTTATAGAAAGCAACGCCTCGTGAATATTAATTCGTTGATAATTACAACCATTTCTATGCAATTGCATTAATCTATGTAAATATATTTCAATCAAACACTTTTAAGGCAAAAAAACTTAAATTAAATTACATTTTTGAATAATTTGTAAAAATCTGAATATTGAACTTTGATCAAATCTTATACTAACCTTGGTTAATGTGAAGCACGTAATCCAAATTGAGGTACAATTAAGTAAATTGTATGACAATCCATGTGTTGTGGCAATCAATTTACACGTGATTCAAGTGTTTTATAATATTGACAATTGGATACTCACCCTATCCTACAGTGTATTCATTGCATTCATTTGTTATGTATAAACAGCGAAGTAGTGCCACCTTTGGTCCACATATCATAGGTAGGCACAGGTTATGCATGTATTGTGTAATATTCTTATAAGTTATACAGTAATGTCAAAAAGTTAAGTTCTCATGTTCGTTCATTAAGAGTTACTTTTATTTTTACAGATATGATGCTGACTTATATTCTGCTAATTAATTAATGAATTAATTATGTTATTAAATCACAATATTTTGGTCATTTCCGATATGTTTTAATTTATTATGGAAATTAATTTTAAAAACCCTTGTTCATATAATATAGATATATTTATTACTTGTAAGAAATGTATGTTAAATCAATAATGATTTACTTGACTTACTTTAATAAGTGCATTTAGTAATTGTAAGCTAATGTACATTACATAACAACACAGTTATATTATATTTATAAGAGTTTTAAACAGTTTAGAATCTATTTTTATTTTTTATTACTCAAACAATTGGAGTCAATTGGAGTTACAGCGATTTTTAACTATGGTGCTTTCCAATGGGTCTTAATGTTTGTCTTAAACACACAATTTTTAAGTTATTTTTGTTCAATTGATTTTACTGTTACCAAATAATTGGTTTCTTTATAGGCACAAAATCCGTATTAAACAGTATTTCCTATGAATTTACAATAACTGGCTTTTTGAAACATGTTAAATATTGTTTATTGCAAATATTTATTACAAATATAAATTAACGAAAATACCATGCCACTAATTTTTATTTGGGAGTATTTAATATCAACAAAGATTTTAATTAATTTAAAAATTAACAAAAGATGCACAAATTTTTTATCTGAAATATAAGTATAATTTAAGTTATTTATAAAATAATGTTCGGAATATTCTTTGTTGTTATTATTTCATTACATCTTTAAAATAAAACATTATTAATAAATATGATTACAAATATATAACTAAATAATTGATATTATCAAATAAATGGGTGTTTTGCTGTAATCTATCAGAACGTTATTCAATATTTTAGACAATAAAGTGTACAAAATTATTATATTCAGTAAATTTTAGTTACAATCCAATATTGTATTAAATTACAAACACTTGGCTTTAGTCATGATTGCAAAAAAAAACTTATTTTGCTTAACAATAAAAATACAAAAATAAGTTCTTTCATCAAAAAATAAATTCAGATAATTTACAAATCAATAATTGAATTCAACTTTTTTTTATTTATCTCTATATTTAAATTTTAAAATGATTTCAAATTTTAATAAGATTTCTATTATTATTATTGTAATATTAATTGTAAATATATTTATTACAAATGCTGCAAATACTGCGGAAGAAGGTTTGTACAATTTGTTTTATACAAATATAATTAGATTATAATAAATTTCATGAATTAAATAATTGTAATAAATATTAATATTTATTTGTAAAAATTATTATTTTAAAACCATATTTAAAGATGCGATCAAAAGGTTGAGAAAAGATTTGTTTACGAATAGGGGTTACGATCCGATGATAATACCCGTCAAGAACTGGAGCCATACTCTTAACGTTGCCGTGACTTTCAATTTGTTAAAAATAATTGATTTGGTAAACAGTATTAGTTTTATTAGCATATTATAGACATCAAACATTTTATGATTTAAATTATTAATATTTTTTCTATCAACTAAATAAAAGGATATTAATTCGCATGTAATGACAACTGAAGGTTGGCTTATATTGATTTGGTATTTATATAATTATAATTATTTTAACGATAACAATAATATGTAATATTTGAATGTTAGGGATGATCAACACCTAACGTGGAAACCGGAAGATTATGGCGGAATCGGTGCCATTCGTGTCAAACCCGAAGAAGTGTTTAAACCCGATATCATGTTATATAACGCGGCGGATGTG